TCCACCCACAGGTGTTGAGGGAGCTGGCAGGGGTCATTGCTGTGCCCCTGGCCCGGCTGTACGAGCGATCGTGGTCCATGGGTCAGGTGCCCGGAGATTGGAAACTAGCTAATGATGTCCCCATCTATAAGAAAGGGAGGAAGGAGGACCCAGGAAACTATAGGCCCATAAACCTCGCATCGGTCTCGTGGAAAATCCTTGAAAAAATTATCAAGGAGCACATCTGTGAGGGGCCAGCAGCAGAGATCATGCCCAGGTGAAATCAGCATGGGTTCATCAAAGCAGATCCTGCCAGACCAACCTGATGGCCTTTTATGACCATGTAACTAAATCCCTGGATGATGGTGTCACCGTGGACATAGTCTTTCTGGACTTTAAGATGACCTTTGACACTGTCTCTCACCCCATCCTCATTAATAAACTGAGTGACTGTGGCATTGATGCCTCCACAGTTGGATGGGTCAAAAATTGGCTGATGGGCGCACCCAGAGAGTGGTGGTGGACGGGTCGTGTTTGACCTGGTGGGATGTGAACAGTGGGGTCCCCCAAGGCTCAGTCCTGGGGCCTACACTGTTCAACATCTTCATCAGCCACTTGGACAAGAGGGAGGAAAACACGCTGTCCAAGTTTGCTGATGACGCTAAGATGTGGGGCGAGGTGGACACACTTGAAGGAGAGAGAGGCTGCAACTAGATTTAGACAGACTTCAAAAGTGGGCAGATGAGAATAGGATGGGGTTCAACATAGACAAATGCAGGGTGCTGCACCTTGGGAGAAGGAATCCACAGCACACATACAGGCTGGGGCATTCCCCTCTTGAAAGCACAGAGGCGGAAAGCGATCTTGGAGTCATTATTGACTCCAAGATGAACATGAACTGCCAATGCCAGACTGCAGCCAGCAAGGCCAGCCATACCTTGTCATGCATCCAAAGATGCATCTCAAGCCAGTCCAGAGAGGTGGGGAGTATCACCTCTATGCAACATTGGTCAGGCCGCATTTGGAGTCTTTAAAAGGATGTGGCCAGCCTGGAGAGAGTTCAGAGGAGGGCCACTCATTTGGTGAGAGGGCATCAGGACAGGCCCTATGAGGAGAGACTGAGGGACCTGAACCTGTTGAGCCTTGGCAAGAGGAGACTGAGGGGGGGACCTGGTGGCTGCCTACAAACTCATCAGGGGAGATCATCAGCAAATTGGAAACCAAAGCAAAGAACTGAACTTGTCTAAATTGCAGAAAGCTTTATACAAAGTGATTTGCTGACCCTTAATGCAGTTTCCCAACCTTTTCCAGCCCAAGGCACACTTGCATTAATAAAAATTTTCTGCAGCACACATGTTAAGGCATTCTCCATCCTCATACCTATTGTAGCTCATTGCCATGGCAAAATTCTGTGGCACACCTGTTCATTTCTGATGGTACACTTTTGTGCCACGGCACACTGGTTGGGAAACACTGACCTAGTGAAATTAAAGTAAGAGCCCATCATGAAAGGGAAGGAGGTCAAGGACAGATGCTGTCAGGAGCATAGAGTTGGTAGCTGGCTTCATAAAGGTGAATTCTGATGGGGAGGTCTGTGCTTTTATATTTCAATTCAGGTTGGAATTGATTTTACTGCATCCAATGGGAATCCACGGGACCCGTCGTCTTTGCACTATATCAGTCCCATGGGAACAAATGAATACTTGTCAGCTATCTGGGCAGTTGGACAGATCATTCAGGACTATGACACGTAGGTACCAATCTTTTTAGGTTAGGATTGCAGCTATCTGGTCTGGAGTAGGTTTTCTTCACTCTTCAAGGCATCAGTCACACCCATTCCACCTGTGACAGGGTGCATTGACAGTGTGGTCCAGTGAGATGGGTCATGGTGTTCAAACAGTGCTTTCTGAACTGTGATTGCTGTGTGACTGGACAAAACGCTCCCTTTTCCAGATCAGTTCCCCTGTCTATCAACTTTGGGTGGATACCTCTACTTTAGCAAAGCTCTTTGAGATCTGGGGATGAAAACCATTCCTATACATTCAGATCCTCAATAAATTGCCTAATAAACACTGAAGAGTATCTCTTTCCCCTTTGTGAGGCAGTGGGTGTTAAATAGTGCCATCGGTCTTCACACAAAAGAGACAAAGCATTTTGTTTTAGTTTTCACTTGTTTTTGACTACAGAAAAATAATAGCGCAATTGTGTTGTAGAGAAGTCAGAAAGCTAACATTGTCCAGCACCCTGGAAAGTACATCAAGGCACCCCAGAGTGTCATGACTCCCAGGTTGAGAATCACTAAACTAGATTTTTTATTTTCTCCTCCCTTCCCCCCATGTTTGGGATTGGGCTGTGTGGAGGTGCTACCAACCTGCAGCTCTCATGGTGTGCTGTGGCAGAGACAGATGCTGAGTACCTGCCAGGGCGGTCAGGCTTTTCATGAGTAAAGGAGCATCAGGGATAAATTCATTAACACTTTCTGGGTACATGTGTGTCATATATATAATTATATAATTTTTTTTTTCCTAGAGACAAAATGTTTCCTGCTCTGGGATTTGGTGCCCAGCTACCACCAGACTGGAAGGTAAAGTCCTGTGCTTTCCATCTGTTCCATGTGTTTAAAATGTGCACATCCATGGCACTGCTTGAGCAGGAGAGAAGTTCACATGTGCAGCACAATGGCTCACCAATGCAGCCTGTGTGAGCTTTTCTTTTGGGAAGTGTGTTAGGGGTGAAAGGAAGGAGGTCTCTGACTTTTAAGCTTTTGGACAACGAAATCTGATTGTATGTGTTTTGTGTGTGCATTTCAGGAGTAGGGGATAGGAACTGGCAGCCAGTTTCTATTTCCCTTTCAAGCTGGCATAAAAGCAGCGGCATTGGCATTAATTGGCAGAGTCAGCTGTTGAGTCACAGGAATGATTGGTGGAAGAAAAGTAGAAGGACCCTTGATAAGTGTGTCAGACAGAAACAAAGCAGGAAACTGAGGGGGTGGAAGTAAAAGTCAGTTCTGTAGTATTTTACAGTCAGAGTCTATCATTGAAACAAGACAGAGGCAGGGGTTAAATCGTAAGGACTTTAAATTGTTGGCTCTCTAATCTTGATGGCATTTGAAAGCCAGTCCTTTCCAGGGACTGGATTTTGGTGAATTTCCTAAACGCCAGGTTGATGTTCTGTTGTGATTAGGCACATTGATGGTTAAAACAGTCCTGGATCTGCAAAGGCATATGCTGAAGCATCTTGCCTAGCATACGGTACAGCAGCACGGTGCTCAAAGCATCATTATAGACCCATTAGAATCAGCATTTCCACAGCAGACATGCAGTTCTGCAGCTTGTTGTAATGCCTTGCAAAGGTTTGCTGATCCAGCACACAAAGTTAAATGCTCAAAGAATTCACACCCATCGTTCAAGGACCCAGTGCATACTGGGATGGGACATTTTAGCATGTATGTGACCCACCAGCTGGGCCATATAAACACTGGGTCATGTTTACCCTTGGTGAAATTCCTTCAAAAACTGGGTGAATTCAGTCTATTGAATCTTGTTGCATCAAGACCGGATCTCTCCCTGGTGAGAGAGAGAGGCCAAAATTGGAGAACCTGTATGCATCTCCCTGTCGCACATTTTTTGTATTGGAAACAGTATCCAGCACTTCCTTAAGTACATAATCTGACTGTACAATGACAGAATCTAACTCTAAATTCAGCCTATTGGGGCCAGTTCTAAACAAAAAATGAGCTAATGTGGCTCTGTTCTGAGAGGGGGAGGGAGCTCTGGAAGGGTCCAGGGTATTGAAGCTGGTCGAAGGGGAAGGTGATTTGCTGGAAACCTGTGGTGATCCTGTTGATCCTTTCTGAGGTTGTGACTGTGGGAGACTTGTGTGTTCTTTCTATCCCCAACTGTAGTGGAATTTGTTGTTTCAACAGCCCTGTAAATAAGTCTGATGCTGCAGAGAGAGGAGCATTGGGCCCTGCCCCAGGATGTAGCCCAAGGCCCATACCCTGTGAAGCTTTTGGTACCTCTTGAGGGCCTTGAGTACCTCAAAAAATCTGAGCCTTGGGTTTGGTGGAAGGTTTGTGAACCTTCATGAAGAGGCCCTGACTGAAATCTAGCTTTTCAGAGAGGAATCTGATGGCAGCTGTGTTCTCATGGGTGTCTTTACAAGCATCTCTGTGGGGGAAGTTTATAATGTCAAACCAATTTTAGCTTCTGCCTTGTTACAGAGTTGGTCAAACCAGCCTTCTCTGTGACCCTAATATATAAATCAGGGGTTTTCAACCTTTTTTTTTCATCTGCAGACCCCTAAAAAACTTCGAATGGAGGTGTGGACCCCTTTGGAAATGGAATGTCTTTTTGGGGATTTGAAACTTTATTTTCATAGTCATCTTTTGCAGACACCTTAAGTAGTCTGGAGCCTCCCCAGGGGTCTGCAGTTGAAAACCACTGATACTTTACTACCTTTACTACACTATCTTTACTACCTGCCAATTCCACTCCCCACCCCTCCTTGGAAATACTCTACTTCTGAATGTGGGAGCGCTCCTAATCCCTACTTTGGCTGAGGGAACCAGAAATTCCACCTGCCCTGGAACTTTAGCTTTTCTCCTAGTGATGCTCCCGTTTCTAGATATGGTACATATTTTTGTCCATGTCTGTTTCCCATGACTTCACTGGGGTTGGATCACTACTTGATGTGCTGCATTGAGGCAGCTGAACATGTGAATGTTGTTAAAACTTTCTCAATGGAGAGGCTTGAACTGTAGGAAGAAAGATTTGGAAGAGGCATGTTAGCATTGGAAACTATATGGGCTGAGTGCTTGAAGAGTACACTCTGTGAATGACTAGGTCTTCTGAGAGGTTTCCCGGTATCACATCTGGGGTTTTCTTGTTTGCGGTGGGGGGGTTGACTTTAATGTGCTTTGCCCCTTTAAGGGAAGGTGCTAAAAGTTAGACTAAATTCCATAACCTAGTTTTTAAGATGTTAAAGCTTTTATTTTTAAAAAGCATCAACCTAAAGCATAAGTTAATGCCTCATTTGATTTCCCTTTGTTTACATTGAGCAGTCCAAGTGCACTGGGCTCTGTCATTGTCAGTATATGAGAGAGCAGCTCTTCCAAACACTTTTTTTCTCTCCTTGGACCATCTCTTATTGACACTTATCTTTCTGAAGACAGCCCTTTTACCATAACCAATGCCCCTGAGTGACCTTGAATCATATTTAAGATCTGTACATTTTTAAAGCTGCCTGATAAACATACACTTTCCCTTCCATTTAGGTTCTCCTTACCTCTGCATGTGTTCCCTTGTGGCATTGCTTTTACTTGCTTGGGGAACCCTTAGCTTGCACCCTCAACATTTATTTTATAGTGTTTTACAGAGGAATGAAAAATGAACATCCGAGCCTTAAGAATTTACAGTGCTGTGGTCTGCCCTGCCAGTACTAAACCCTGTACTCAGTGTCTTGGAATTCAGTAGGTTTGTATGTGAGAGTAGGCACATGCAGGGATCACTGTTTGCATAACAGTGGTGAGGACATTGGCTGGAGGTTCAGGAAAGCTGGGTTTTGTTTTGTTTTGTTACTCACCTGCTGTGACTTTGAGTCAATCACCTTTCTGAGCCTGTTTCCCCTTCTCTCTCATCTTTGTAGAGGGCAAGCTGTTTAGGGCAACAACTATCTCTTCCTACATATTTGAACAGTGCTCAGCACAAGAGGGCCCTAGTCTTGATTGGGGCCACTAGGTTCCCACAGGTAGAGGATTCAGAATTAAGATATGGTGTATAGAAGATGGTAACAAAGATTGGCAACTGGGGGGATTCAGAGCAAAAGGATACAACATGAAATTCTCATGGCTGTTTCAGCTAATAACTTGTATGTGTCTCAGGTTTTAGAAAAGGCATTTATACTCTCATTTTGAATAGTCACTGGCTGGAAAACAGCTTTAAATTGCAAAATTTAAATTTTGCTGATACTCCATAGCATGGTTTAAAAGATGTTCTGAAATAGCCACAATATTTTCATTAGTAATCGGCTCCTGAAATGGTACACAGTGGGTGTGTCTACACAAAATGTGTTACTCGAGATCAGAGCTAATTACTGTGCAGTAAACGTCACCATCTACATGTACAAACACTTAACTGCACTGTAATATGCTCTAATCATGAGTAAATTTGCTATCTGTAAATAAAAGTAGCAAATTTACACTAAATTACTTACTGTGCAGTAATGAAAATGAAAGCAAATGTGCTCCCAGTCAGCCAGGCAGCAGGGGGTGGGAGATTTGTCTCCATCCAGGTTCTGGTAGCAAAACCCACCCCAGCAGCAGGTAACTCCTGGGGGCAGGGAGCAATGTCCTTCTGCCTCGGCAGCAGGGAGATCCCTGATCGGGGAACAGGGGCGGGGAGATTCTTATCTCCCAACACCAGCCCCACATCATGGAGCCAGGGCTGGGAGCTTATCTCCCGGTGCCAGCTCCATGTTGTGGGGCCGGTGCTGAGAGATTCTGATCTCCCGGCCCCAGCTCCATGGTTGTGAGGCCTATGCTGAGAGATTATGTAGTTTAGAATCTCCCAGCGCCGGCCCTGCTACCGTGAAGCTGGTGCTGGGAAATAAGAATCTCCCAGCCCCTGCTTCCTGATCACAATTGGGAAGCTAGGACTGGGAGCTCCCTGCTGCCAGGGCAGAGGGATATTGTCCCTGCCTACGCTCTGGTGGAAGAGCCTGCCCTGGCAGCAGGCAGCTCCCAGGGGCAGGGAGGAATGTCTCAGTCCCCACCAAGAGACAACTATTTCCTGGCCTTGTGCACCCTGCCAGCCCCTGGGCTAGCACCCAGGGGGAGCCTAGAGCTCCCCCATGCTGCTGCAGGGTGCTGATGCAGGGCCACAGTGAGTGGGAGCATTCTGCTGCTCGGAGCAGCAAGTCTGCTCCTGCATCCCTGCATGTGTAGAGGTGTGCTAGAGTAGTTTACTCTAAAATAAGCTGATCCTGCATTATTTGCACTTGTAGACATGCCTAGCATCTCCACTAGCTGCTATCTCTTTGCTATCCACAGACTCACTGTGCACTTTCCCTGCCTGCTATTGGCGGTCTTGTTTGCTGTTGTTGCTATGCCCTAAATCATCACTGTTCAAACAGGGTGGGCATCAGATTTATGCAGTTTTGCTTTCATTTCAGGTGGAATTTTGGGGAAATAGTTTCCTCTATGTATTTTATTGTACTTGAATGTGGGATTGGCCAAATGGACCACAGTGACAGCTTTGGAGAGCAAACTCATCTTTTCACAGAACGGGTACTCTAAGATCAGTACAAGGGTGATAGCTGGCATCTTGACCAACATGCCAGGGAATGAACTAGGGACTTCAGGCATCAGCTGCAGCAGTGTGAGGTAAAAAGTCAAGGGTGATAGAGTACAAACACAGTGACCAGTGTGTTACCACCATTCCCCCCCCCAAACATTGAGTGAGTTTGGGCCTCAAGGCTGTCTTGCCCTAATGGTGGTGGGATGATGATTTTGTCTTTCTACCCATTCATCCATGTCCTTTCTTCTGTGCCATGGAGGTGATTTTTGAAATAGTTATGTGCCCACTA